GGGGGGGGGTAGGCGGAGAAGAAGCGTAAACCAGGACTCAAGGGCCCAGGAACAGGGCTCCTGGCATGGGCAGTGAAGAAACGGCCTGTCCCAAAAGACACCAAACTCACTGGGCCAGAGGCAGGTTAACACTGGTTTATGTGTCCAATAACATGCCGGCTGGTACAACCAGGCAGAGCCAGCAGCAGGCTCAGGCAGAGGTGTCAAAGAGCCTATCGATCATGTCGCCCACCTGCTCCACGCGGTACTTGATGTACTTCTCGGGGTTCTTGGTGAAGGGCACGCTGCTGTACCTGTCCAGGCACCGAGGTCAGCAGGCAGCCCGCCCCCTCCCATGCTCACCTCAGCCTAGGGCCCTCCAGGTGGGGTGTCCCTGAGGGGCACCTCTGCCTGACCCCACACCAATGCCCAGGGCGTTGGATCTGCCACCCAAACCTACCTCCTCCATGTTTTCTGGAAGGAGAGCACAAAGCTGCAGCCAGGGAAGTGGGGAGCGGGGCTCACCTGTGCAGGAAGGCCCTGTAGGTCTCCTTGACAATGTGCTTCTGAGCCTGGCGGATCCTGTCTCTCTGCTCCGTGTCAGGAATAGCCCAGGCTTTCTGGATCTTGCACAATTCTTCAAGGCCATCATTGAAACCCTGGCCACCAAGGAGGTGGAAAGAGAAGCGACCCAGAGATGAACGTGCCGCTAAAGCAGCAGCAGCAGCAGCGGCGGGGACAGGGTCCCAGCTCACCTTAAACCGCTCCTTGATCATCTGACGCTCCTTGTCCCGGAGCTGGGGGGGGGAGAAAGCTTTCCTCAGGGCAGTCACCAACCCCTGCTCCTTCCCCAAACACGTGAGCCCAGCTCTAATGGCCACAGGCATCCTCTGTTCTCTCACCCCAGATGGACTCTCGAACATTTTTTCCCGGGAACAGAGCAAATGATATCACACATGCTAGACACCCCTTCCTAGCCCAGGCCTTCATCCCACCTTGACTCCGGGCTGGAACACAGGTAGATTCTTCTCCGTGATGTAGTCAGTCACCTTTAACCAGCTGCAGAGGGAGAAAAAGCAGAGGGCGGAGGAGGGACAGCCTCAGACAGCTGCTTCTTCCTGGGGGCTGGTTTGCTTGTTGTTGTTTTAAATCTTTTGATCTACTGAGGGAGGGGAGGGGAGGGCAGGAACTCATCTGCATCACAACTAAACAAAACACAACGGAGGTTTTTCTTCAGGAATAGAGTGTGAGAGGCTCTCTTTGACAATGAAGAGGAAAAAACATTCAATAAGTTGAACAAATACTGTCAACTACGCTTCCCTTCGTATCACCGTAAATAAAGACAGAGCAGCAGGTGAGGAGGAAAGGAAGGTAGGGGACAGACACTGGAAGGCAGAGGAAGACACTTTAAGGGAAGGAGCACAAAGGGCGAGAGACACACACAAACCCCAGAGCAGAAGAGGGGGCTCTGCAGAGGCTGCTCAGCCAAGCTCAAGAGCTCTAGTAACCCTGCCCCTCGCTTGGGCCACACGTTCCCCACATCTTTGACGTCAGCCCTGCAACTAGGCTTAGCATCACCCTGGCCGGCAGGTGGACCACCCTCTGAAGAGGCTGGCGCAGGGCCCCCAGGAATAGGCAGCGGTGGGTAAAGGTGCTCCCATCACCACTGCTGAACACGATCACAGGACGAGTGGAGGCTTGGGGTCCACAGGGCAACAGCTCCCCGATACTGATCCCACTCGGGCCCAGTGTCCCGAGACTCAGGAGAGTATGGGTGGTGGGTGCAGGGCGGGGTGCCTGAGAGGGCCCAGCCTCCCACCTGCGCTGGTAGGTCTGGATCTGCTGCTCGATGTGTTCCCGGTAGGAGCGCTCGGCCGTCTTCTGGGTCACAGCCACCAGCTGGATCAGCTCAGACCTGGGGTGGGGTAGGAAATGGAGGAGAGGAGACTGGATTGGCTCCCAGGGCCCAAGGGCTGCAGGCCTCGACAGCACACCAGCGGGGCCTGCCCGAACCACCCCACCCACAAGGCCTATAAGAAGGCAGCACACATGCCTCCGTGTCCCAGGGCAGTGAAGAGTAAAGCACTGCCTTCCCCACCAAACACACAGAGGGCACAGCCAGCGGAGGGCACAGCCAGCGGAGGGCACAGCCCCACGCCACGTACTTCTCCAGGGCCTTGAGAATGTAGTTGTAGTTGTTGTGCAGGAAGATGGCGCTCAGAGCTGGGTCCTCATACACCTTGGACTTGCTCAGCAGGTTCAACTGCAGGTTGCCCAGGACTTTACCTGCATAGGAAAAGATGTGGCCACACCCACATGGCAGTTTGACCAAAATGACCCAATCCTAGGACCCATAAACCAAGCCCTACCTGTCACTGCAGTCCCTCCCCGACTCCAGACCCCACAAGCCTCAACCCCCCTCTGCCCTGAACCAGAGGTTAGGTTATAATTCCAAAGGTCCAGGGGCTCAGGAGAGGAACTAGGACTAGCAGAAGAGCACTAAAAGGAGAGGGCAGGGCGAGGCAGGGACTATGGCTGTGGCTGCTGGCCGGCTGGAGACTCACAGATATAGGTGCTCAGGAGACGCTTGCTGAACTCGGAGCTGTAGCTGGTGGCTGAAGAACTGGTCTCTGTGAGAGAGGAGAATCCTGCTATGGCGGCGGCAGCAACCGAGACCCTCTGGTCTTCCCTCCGCCCAGGGGGCAACTGAGGTCAGGCTGGGAGGGGCCTCTGAGCCTTCCTTCCTCTGGCTGATGGGACAGAAAGGAGCTGGGGAAGAGCTGGGTATCTGCTGGGCTCCAGGGCACCCTGCCGGCTACATAGAGCACTCCCTTGGACTTTTTCTGGAACCCTGAATGAATAAGCCCCTCTATGGTGACAGGGTGGCCCATGATCCTCAGAAAGGCTAGCAGGACCTCCAATCTCCAACCCCTGCTGGGTGGCATCTAAGGCCCGCCTATCCTATCTGTCAGCAATAGTCAGAATGGGCTCCCACAGCTTCTCCCCTTCCTCACATCCCACCACCTGCTCTCCTGCCCTGCTGAACAGAGGGGACCTGCCTACACAGATTGGAAGGCC